TTACATGTGGAATATAATAAACAAAATAAACTGATGAACAAAGTGGATCCAGAGACATAGAAGCATGGAACAGACTGAGGGATCTCAGAGGGAAGGTGGGGAGGGGGGAGTGGGTGGGGAGAGATTAATCAAAGAACTTATATGTTTATAAGCATAACCCATGGACACAGACACTGGTCTGGGGAAAGCCTGGGGGTGGGATGAATGCTGGGTGGAGAGGATCAGGGGGGGTAAAAAGGGGACACCTGTAATATTTTCAACAATAAAGATAAAGAAACTTAAAAAAAAAAAGGAAAGAAAAAGTTTTAAACTTTTAGATGTTGTTACATGGAGACACACACACCAGAAAGTCTTCCAAAGAAGGCTCAAAGAGTAGGGAGTGCACGGTCAGAATCAGTTCTGTGAGGAACATGGGGACGAGAGACTCATCTTCTTCCTGCCTCTCCATCATCGGGGTCCCCTGAAATGAACACATTTGCAGCGTTATGAAGACATGGGTACCAGGGTGTGCAATAGAAAACCTCTCTGTTACAAGAGGCACACAAACTTAAACTTATACAATTAGCTGGTTTTATAATGTTGGCATGTCTTTCAAAGAAGATTACCACAGAAATTAAAAAATAAAGGCTGATATTGAAAAATGATACAACATAACCAAAGAACTTATATGTATATACGCACAACCCAAGGACACAGACAATGGTGGGGAGAGGGACTGGGGAGGGGGATGGGACGGGATGGAGTNTCAAGGACACAGACAGTGGTGGGGAGAGGGACTGGGGAGGGGGATGGGACGGGATGGAGTGGGTCATTGGGGAGAAAAAGGAACATCTGTAATATTTTAAACAAAAATAAACAACAAAAAAGAGAAAAACGACACAATGTAAAACTCCTCCCCTTGAAAAAACACTATCAACAAAATGGAAAGGCAAATAAGGAAATGAAAAAATATATCAGTAATGTATATAGCAGATAGAAGGTTAGTAATATTTAAGTAGAAATCTACTGATATACTCAATAGAAATATACACTAATATTATAACAATCAATACATGAATAGTAATGCACAAATGATCGATCAACCTCTTCCTCCTCCCCTTCCTGAATATAGTTCATTCAGTAATAACGTTTATTGAGCATTTACTGTGTGAGGGAGCGCTGAGCATCCATGCAAACCCCACACCAACCATATGCAGCAGGTATCATTGCTACTCCCATGAGAAAACAGAATCTGGAGAAGGGCACATGGCTTAGTAAGTGGCAGACCCGGGTCTCTCTGATCGTCACACCTATGCTCTTATCCTCGCGCTGGGGCAGCAAGGAAAGGAATGTAACACTTACAAGCAGTGATATACTACTTTACATCCATCGGGTTAACAAGGATGAAAATGAACGATCCTATCTAGTGTGCACGTGGGTCAACGCTCATTCTCAAACATTGCTAGGAAGGTCGTAAATTGACACAAAGCTTTCCAGGGAGCTACGCTTCAGTATCAAAGCCTTAACAGGTGAGCATATTTCTGACCCAACAATTCCACAGCTAGGAATTTCTTCTAAGGGGAAAAAATCAGAGATGCGAAACATGTACAGACGAGGATGCTCTTTGCAGCGTTATTTGTAGTGAGAAAGTGACCAATAATAGAAAATTATTTACTGACATTTACAAGACATATAGTACATTTCTATGTGAGAATATTATATGAAAAATACATATCAACTTGGGAGATTTTTCACAAAACATTGCTAAGTGGGGGGGAAAAGGTGATTAAGCAGTAAATAAAGTATGATATTTTATTTCCCCCTTGGAAATAGTTATCTTTGGATAGCAAAGGATGCCTCTTCTTTGTACATTTCTGAGTTTTTCAAATTTTCTGCACGGCATATATTACTGTTACAGCTATAAAAACAAATATTAATTTTAAAATGTGATAGTGTTTAGAAAAAGGAGGACTTGAGATTAGGAAGCAATGAAAAGGAGTGTGCAACTAACATACAACTTTTGGAGAAAAAGGGAAATACGGCAGAGAGCATCGGTCCTTGAAGCTGCACAGCTGAGTTTCCTGGAGAGGAAGTTGAGAATTGGAGCTTGATGAAACCAGATAAGCATGTTTTGCAGTGTTACTAGGCATCTGGCCTGAAGCTATTATCCAGGATGGAGTTGGGGAAGGCTTACTGGGAAATGCGGATATGAGATAATATGATTTCTCTCTTAGCTGTGCTAGAATACACAGTGAAATTTGCACTACTTTGTCTCAAACACCTCAATTACTCTGCGGCTCTAAAGTCGTCAACTTCCGCCCGGCCGGGCGTGGCTCAGCAGTTGAGCATCGACCTAGGATCCAGGTGATCGGGGTTCGATTCCCGGTCAGGGCACATGCCCGTGTTGCGGGCTGCAGCCGATCAATGACTCTCTCATCATTGATGTTTCTATCTCTCTCTCCCTCTCCTTTCCTCTCTCTGAAATCAATAAAGATGTATTTAAAAAAAAAATTTTTAAATAAATAAATTAATAAAGTCGTCAATTTCCTCCCGAGAGGGTATCCCCTCAAAGTACAAAGGTTTGCTTCATGATGTGCTTCTCACATCTAAACCACTGCTTCTTTCTTTCATTTATACCACCTCACTTGCTTCTCTCTGCCGGTTCATGCCCAAGATGACCCCCAAACTCTAAGCTTCTTGGGGGCAAGGGTCTTCTCTACGCTTTTCATCACTATATACCCAACACCCAGTGCAGGGATTGGTACACAGTAGGTACTTAAGAAATATCTGTTGAATGAACACATGCATAACCTTTAGCACATTCCCGTGAGACAACAACATTTAGCACAGTGAGTGCTTTCTCTGTTAGGTATCTGTTGATATGCTGATTTTCATTCTGCCTTTTCATATGTGTATAGTAGGCTCTGATTATACTATGAAAGCCTCTATTCTCCATTTTTCCAGTACACAGAAAATAGCATAATCTTAATCTTGTCTGGATATACCTTCTTATCAGTGACTTCGGGCTTCTCCTCAGTAATCCATTTTTGAATGACATCTGCTGAAGGTGTTCGTTTTAGCTTGTCATTGAGATAATTCAAAAGGGAGTTAACAGAATTTACTGTTAAGATGTGCATTGTGCTCTGAATTAGATAATCATTTAGACGAATAAAGCTTGAAAAGAAAAAAATACAGCTTCAGTTTTCTATAGTCACTACATATTTTTGAAAGTGACTCTAAAGTATTTACATTTTAAAATATAATTTCTTTTAATTTCCATTTTTTTATTACAATATCAGAGATTTACTGTCCAAAAGAGTTGTAACTGGACATTCTTCATTTTAAAACACAAACATATTCAAATATATAGCATCAATTTAGCTAGGCGTTCTATCTATTCAATACGATATTAATGAGCAATACACTTGGTATGGAAAAAGCACCTCACTTATCTAGCCAAAAGGGCCATGAGATTTTTTTTTTTAATACCTTAGAGAAGAAATCAGCAAATATACATCTGTAACTTGCATTCTAAAGGTAAATGTGTGAAATCTTCACGATTGGATAAATGTTTGATGGCAATTGCTAAGCCAAAGATGCAAATTTTATGTTTCTTTACTTGAGTGCTGAGAATGTCCACAAGGCACTTAGAGTAACTTCTTATTCTGCTTATGTGGCGCCCAAGGGGCCTCTAGTACCTGGAGGCCAATGATGATGGCCTCAGGGACTGCTTCACTGACTTCAGTGACACAGACAATATTATTATATTATCTCACATATAAACTGATGCACCATTACCATTTATTAAGTAGACAGCTGTAAAAGTTGGACTGAGTAACAAGAATCAGTGTTGTATATAGTACCGCATACATTTCAGATAATGCTTGATGACTTTGTTTTCAAGAGTTACTTCTACGGATGAAGTTTTAGAAGGACGTGAAATCCAAACTCTGGAACAATGTTAAGTTCCAGTTGAATATACAATGGCAGAGCTGGCCCTAACGAGGGAGGGACCCTTGGTGAGGCCCTGGATGGCTTTCCTCCCTTGTCTCCCAGTTGTGAAACCTTCCCTTAGGGAAAGTGTGGAACTTTATGTGGCAATGTAGCTATGTACAAATCTCTGTGTGCCTGACTTCTTACCATAGCCGGCGCCATGCTCCAGCCTGGCTAGTGGGAAACAAAGCCTTAGAGATCAAAGAGGAGCCCTTGACCTTGGACATGCCCTCGGCTCTCTCTACCAGCTCGCCATGCCCAGCGGCTGCTCTGCTGAGGGGCAGGCTTCTGGGGCTGGACTCAGGTTACCCTATCCTCTAAATCCCTCATCGCTATTAGTGAATCCTGCGGTAAAGGCTTTAACTTTGAATGAAACTTGAGAATGACAGATGCCCTAATTTTTCTCAAAAGAAAGAATAATCACTTACCATGTCAGCCTCCTGCAATAACGCCTTTTCCTGGCCTGCTGTGTGTATTTCATGTTCTCAGAGTTTGAATAAGCTGGCAACTCAATGAGACCTCCAGTGCTTGACACTTTCTTACTAGCTAAGAACAGCAGAAGACACAACAGGAATTCTTGTGTGAAAATTCCATTTTTCCCCTCAATATGGATTGAAAGACAAGCAAAATTTAAAAAAACAAAAACAAAATGCTTTGGTTCATGAGATAATTCAAACTTGGGGTAATTCAAACAGTCTAGTATCCAAAAGAATTTCACATCAAAGGATTTCAACTCAACCAAAGACTGTAGGCAGTTTATTCACATTCTCTTTAACAGGATTTGACCTGTGTACCCTGGTACCTCTTTTTCAGGAACACGTTTACCCTCTTTTTCCAGCTACATTTTAGTTATACTTTAGAGTACACGCCAGCTGGGGCCAATCCTGAGATCCATCCAGTCCCTTAATTTTAACAAACTTATTGTCTGTACTAGTAGGTTAAACATACCTTTAAGCACAGGGGCTCTGAGTCAACTATAAAATGCTTGTGAAATGGAAGCTCCATAAGTTTAGAAATACTATATATACAAGCAGGGGTAATGCAAGGAAAATGCACTATTTACTGTCTTTCTCCCCGTACAATATACACCAAAATCATAATCTATCCAGTACTTTTGGAAGAGCTGGAAATAAGATCATTAGTTAAACTTAAGAAATGTAGAATGAAAAAGAGGGACTACTTTAGAAAGCTGCCACTTCTGATCTGTTAAAGCTCTTTCCCCTCCTTACCTTCTTTCTGTTTTTTTTTAAAAGAATATATCTTTATTGATTTCAGAGAGAGGAAGGGAGAGGGAGAGAGAGAGAGAAACATCAATGATGAGAGAGTCATTGATCAGAGGCCTCCTGCACGCCCCCCCCAGGGATGGAGCCTGCAGCCTGGGCCTGGGCCCTGACCCAGCACCGAACCACGATCTCCTGGACCCTAGGCTGATGTTCATCCACTAAACCACACCAGCCAGGCCCTACCTCCATCCTCACAGTCGTCAGGAGTGAATCCTATAGCGCGCAGAGCAGTGCGACAAGCCTTCCTCACCACATCTTTGGACTCATTTCGAAATTCTTCCAGGTGCTCTGTCACCTAAACATTGATGATATGTATAATTAGTCATACCAAAGAAGCAACAGTAGAAAAAATATCTTGAAACGTATAGACAAAGTTCCTTACCGTTTGCAGCCAGACGATTTGCGCGGCCTTAAATTCTTGCAGGGTATAGGTGTGGCCTTTTTCAATATAACAAAGCCGCATAAATCTCAACTGATAACACAGTTCATTTATTTTAAGAAGGGCTGGTCTCAAATACTGAATGAAGATAGAAATATATCATTATTTAAAGAAACACGTGTGTGTTTTTTAAGTATAAAGATATTTGGAAAGCAAGAATGGCTGTTAAGGAACATAAATACCTCGATATGTTAACTTTAGCTACACTTGCATACATTAAAAGGCACGCTTCTGAAATTTTAGCTATGAAATTGAGGACTCAGTAAATCTTTTTTTTTTTTTTTAGTTTATTGATTTTTAGAAAGAGAGGAAGGGAGAAAGAGAAACATCAATTTCAGAGCAAACCCTGATGGGCTGCCTCCGGCCCGCCCCACACCAGGGATCGAGCCCACAACCAGAGCATATGCTCCAAGTGGGAATCAAGCCAAACCCCCCCAGTGCATAGGACAACACCCAGTGGAGCCACAGTGGCCAGGGCAGGACTCGGTAAATCTTAAATTTCACTAGGTTTGGCCAATGGCTACTAAAAGATTCTTTGTGTTACCTTTAAGACTTTACAAATGTCTAGTCACCATGACAGTGGAGGGGCCCATCTATTGACCTAAAAGGCTGTGACTTTGTTTAGCACAAAGACAAATTTAACTTTAAATTTTCAATGGGTAAAAAGTTGCTGAAAAGAAAGTTCAGTCACTATTAAAAACCTATCTTGCAATGTGAGCTGGGAGAAGGAATGAAGTATTTGTGATATTCGGCTACATGATCTTAACTTTTCTTTCTCTGTGCCAACATCATAAATCAGACTTCTGGGCTGTTGGCTTTGAAGGCACATGCTCTAAGAACGAAAGGCATTCACTCTGACTTCTAATCTAACCAGAGGAGGAGCCATTACATTATATAGATAAAGTTAACATTAATTTATTTGTATGTGACACGGGTTTATGTGTTACATGCTTTTCTAGGAGCTTTCAAAACAGGACTAACAACAGTTATTCAGACCAACATTTAGTGCTTTATTTATTCTAAGTGCAATAAAGGGAAGTTATAATGAATAGAGTCCTAAATGAAGAGAGTTTTGTGAGAAACCATTTGGAAGTCATATAGCCCTTAAGGTTCATCTCATGGGGGAATTTGCATAATAAAAAAGAAACAAAAGTTTAGAGCCTAAGTCTATGAGTTGAAATAAGATACTAAATAAACTAACCAGGTAAGGAGTAGGGATGACTATGTAATCAAAATGGGGCAGTGAAAGCAAGGCAGTCTGGAGTCCTCTGGAGGAGGTGCTTAAAGCAGAATTATAAGGGAGAAAAAATATGGGTCCAGGTGGAGAGCAGAACTAACATTGCTGGTCTGCCAAAAAGTGACAGTTTTGACAGTGGGGAATTTTTTTGGAAGAAAAAAATACATAATCTAAGAAATCACTTTAGCTTAAACTAAATATCTGGCCGTCAGCATAAAGGAGAAATGTGAAAGCCGTTGTGAATATAAGAGAGAATGGAAGTGTCCCCCATCCCCTCTCGCTGCTTTGTTTCTGCTGTTAGTAAATTTCAGATGGATCTGGGTTAGGTGGTTTATTCTTGGGCTGTTGTATCAGTACTGTCCATTGAAGGTGATCAGATTAAGCACGATTTTACATTATTAGCAAAATTGTAAGAGGAGGAACAATCTGTCACCTTGATGGTGGGTTTCAATGTGTAAAGGATTGAGGTAGCTATCATTTTTGCTGCCCAGGACACTTTTCCTGACCTACCTACAATTTTTCTGGTGATAGAATCCCTCATTCTTTTGGGAGACTCATTAGCATGTGGTTTTGATTAGACAGACCCCTAACTTTCTTCATCACAGGAATGAGGAACTGGCACGTACCTAGGCCTGGCTTATCAGGGTACTCCTAGCTGTGCAGTGATTGGTCCAGGGCTGTGCATGTGGCCACACCGAGCCAATCAGCGTTCTGCCAGCATCCCAGCAAGAGATACTCTCTTTTCATTAAAAAAAAATAGCTGCAACTAGAGCTGGGGGTGGTGTTCATTCTGAGAGCCCAGCTGAGAATGAAACAGATGCGGAGAAACATAGAACTTAAAGACGGAAAAAGGAAAAAATAAAGATGACAAGATCATCATTTGAATTTCTGAATTCAGCCATGCACAAAGGTATTCACACTCTTGAACTTCCTTATTATATGAGCTTTTGTTTGTTATTGTCGTTGCCGAAGTTTGTTTAAGTGGAGTTTTTGCCAGGTGCACTGAAGTGAGTGTCAATACTTCAGAGATGGGAAATCAGTGTTTTTCATCTGGAGGCTGGTGAATGGGTCAGAAAGCCTATGGGGAAACATTAGAGACTTTGGAAGATAACTGCAGAAGAGCTGCATTTGCTATAAAAAAATTTTGTGAAAATCAGGGTCATGCTGAGGCACCCTGTCTTTGGTTGGAATGCAGGAATCCTTTGGATTTGCCAGTCTTGCATTCACCATGGCACCAAACCTTTAGCTTGCCCTAACCTGAGTCATCAGAACATCTGGGTGGTCTGTACAATTTGGCACTTAGAGAACCCACTACAGTTGTAGGTCTTGGTCCAGCCAGAGACTCTGGGCTCAGGTGCTCTCATTTTTAACCCAGTGTTGAAAATGCTTCAGCAAAAGGGACAGGGGACATCCCTTCACAAGTGAAGAAATAGTTATGTAAATCTATGACATTAGGAGTGGTTTGTCCCCAGAGCAATGACTGACTAAAAATTAAAATTAAAAAGACTTTAATTATAAAGGGACATTCAAATTAAAATAAATGAAACAATGTTTGAGTAAATGTAAAAATAAAAATAACAGAAAACTGCCTGAAAGTATCATTACAACAAAATCACACATTATTTGAAAACCAGCAAAATCATCAAGTACCTTGCAGGTTGAAATCATGTGCAGCATTAAATAATACTGAAAAATTAATACTAAATACACACCTAAGTCTAGAGAAAAGTGAATCCTGGAAATGTAAGAGACTAGAAGACGCTTACAAAAAGGAAGCATAGTCCCAGATGGCTTCATGGGTGAATTATACCAAACATTTTTAAAAAATTAATACCAATTCTTCATAAACTCTTTCAAAAAACAGAAGAGGGAACATTTCCCAACTCATTCTATAAGCCAATATTACCCTAATACCAACACCAGACAGACAAACATATCCTAAGGAAATAAAAAAACTGTAGACCAATCTTCCTTATGAATATATATATGCAAATATCCTCAACAAAATACTAGCAAATCAGCCCTGGCCAGGTGGCTCAGTTGGCTGGAGTGTCCTCCCAGGCACCAAAAGGTTTTAGGTTCAATTCCCAGTCAGGGCACAAAACTGGAATATGGGTTCGGTCCCCGGTCAGTGTGTGAATGGGAGGCTACCAATCAATGTTTCTCTGTACATCATTGTTTCTCTCTCTCTCTCTCTCTCTCTCTCTCTCTCTCTCTCTCTCTTCCTCTAAAAATCAATAAAAAGATATTCTTGAGTAAGGATTAAAGAAAAATACTAGCAGCATCTGGCCCACGTGGCTCAGTGGTTGAGCCTTGACCTAGGATCCAGGAGACTGAGGTTCGATTCCTGGTCAGGGCACATGCCTGAGTTGCAGTTCAGTCCCTAGTAGGGGGCGTGCAGGAGGCAGCCAATCAATGACTCTCTCTTCGTTGATGTTTCCCTCTCTCCCCTTCTCCCTTCCTCTCTCTGAAATCAATAAAAACATATTTTTTAAAAAATACTAGCAAACCAAATCTAACAACATGTAAAAAGGATTATACATAATGACCAAAGATGATTTATCTTAAGGATGCAAGGTTGGTTTAATATCTGAGAATCAATTATTACAATAGACCATACCAATGGAATAAAGGGGAAAATAACATGATAATCTCAATAGATGCACAAAAAGCACTTGACGGGATCATAATGGCTTCACGATTCTAACATTCAACAACCAGGACCAGGAAGCAACTTCTCATAACATTATACTTAATGGTGAAAGACTGAAAGCTTTTCCTCCAGAATCAAGAACAAGACAATTAGTTCCGCTCTTGTCACTTCCATTCAACAGACGTTCTAGCCAGGGAACTTGGGCAAGACAATTAAATAAAAGGCATCCATACTGGGGAGGAGTAGTAAAACTATGTATTTGCCCATGATATATTCTTATTCATAGAATATCGTAAGGCAACCCCCCAACACACACCAAACAAACTATTAGAGTCAATCATAAGTTCTGCAAGGTTTCAGGAAACAGGCTCAATGTACAAAGATTAAATATATTGCTATATTTTAATTACAAAGGAACATTCAAAGTAATTACAGAAGCTATATGTATATGTACACTATTTATATATTCTATATATATACTATATATGAAATATCTAAGATGAAAATTAAGAAAACAATGCCACTTATAATGGTATCAAAAAGAATAAAATATTTAGGAATAAAGTTAACAAAGAAATGCAAAACATATACTCTGAAAACTGCAAAACACTGCTGAAAGTAGTTCAAGAAGGTCTAAAAAAAAGGGAAGGTATTATATGGTCATGGACCAGAAAAGATAATATTGTTAAAATGACAATACTTTCAAAATTGATCTACAGCTTTAAAGCAATCCTTATCAAAATCACAACTGGCTTCTTTGCAGAAATTGACAAGCTGATATTAAAATTCATGTGGAAATTCAAGGGGCCCAGAAGACTCAGACTTCCTAATTTCAAAATTTACTACATAGCTGCAGTATTCAAGACAATGTGTTACCGGCATAAGAATAGATATAGATAAACAGAATAGAATTGCGAATTCAAAAACTCTCACATTTATTGTCAGTTGATTTTTGGCAAGGGTGCCAAGACAGTTCAATGGGGAGAGAAGTGTCTTTGCAACAAATGGAGCTGAGACAACTGGATAGCCACAGGCAAAGGAATGAAGTTGAACCCCTACCTTATACCATAAGCAAAAATTAACACAATCTGAACCAAAGACCTAAATGTAAGAGCTAAAGCTATACGACAACTAGAAAAAAACTTTTGGGTAAATCTTTGTGACCTTGGACTAGGCAAGTTTTTTAGACATAACACCAAAAGCACAAGCAGTAAAATTAAAAATGGATAAAATGACTATCATCAAAATTCAGAATCTTTGTGCTTCAATTTATACCATCAAGAAAGTGAAAAGGCTGCCCAGATGGCGTGGCTCAGCAATTGAGCATCAACCTGTTGTCCAGGAAATCGAGGTTTTCAATTCCTGGTCAGGGCACATGCAGGGGGCGTGCAGGAGGCAGTCAATCAATGAATTTGTACCCAAAATACATAAAGAACTCTGATAACTCCATAGTAAAATACAAGTAACCCAATTTAAAAATGGACAAACTATCTGAATAAATAGCTCGCCAAATAAGATAAGCAAATGGACAACAGGCACATGAAAAGATGTTCACTATCATTAGCTATCAGGAAAATGTAAATCAAAGTCATAATGAGAAAGCACTTCAACCAGTAGGAATGGCTACAATGAAAAAGACAAATATAGTGATAATATGCAGAATCTGAAATGTAAAATTGTGCAGTGGGTTTGAAAAACTGTTCTGTGGTCTTTCAACAGGTTAAACATAGACTCACTGATGACCCAGAGATTCCACTCCTAGAGAAATGAAAACATATGTCCAAGCAAAAACGTGTATACAAATGTTCATAGCAGCATTATTCATAATTGCCAGAAAGTGTAGGCAACCCAAATATCCATCAATACATGGATGGATAAATAAAATATGCACATCCTTACAATGGTATACTATTGGCCAATAAAAAGAAATGCTATGCTACAGCATAGATGAATCTTGAAAACATCATGCTAAGTGAAAAAAGCCAGTCACAAAGAACCATGTATTGTATGGTTCCATTTTTATGAAATGTACAGAGTAGGCAAATCGATAGAGACAAAAGTAGATTAGTAGTTGCCTAGAGCTGGGGTGGGGCTTGGAAGGGGTAGTTAAGGAGAAATGGAGAGTGGCCAATAATGCACAATTGGGTTTCTTTTTGTAGTGACAGAAATATTCTAAAATTTACTGTGGTCGTGGTCAATCAATTTTGTGAAAATACTAAAATCATTAAATTGTATACCTTAAGCAGGTGAACTGTATAGTACATGAATTATATTTCAATAAAATTATAAAGAAATGTAGGCACAAGTGCCAATAATGTTGGTTACTGAAAAAAATTATAAAAAGAAAATTTTAAAGGGCAGCTCCACATTTCCCCTCCACGTAGTTTGAGGGAATCAGCCCCGCCCCTCCAGTGAACTAATTGCAAATATAAGACTAGTGGTAAATGTGTGGGTAATTATAACGTCTAACAGATACTTAAGCCAACACAATGGGTCTGTTATTTAGGTCAATCTAAGATGAAAAGGATGAGAACTTTCTAGTCTGCTAGGGCTACATTTAAGAGTAGATATTACCAAGGCCAAAACACTGATGGTATGAATGGTGAACTCTCAGTACATCAAATCAGAGAACAAACCTTAAGGATTAATAGGTTAATTTCAGAGACAAACGCAGGAAGAAATATTTTACATACCTAGTAACAAATTTATGAAATGTACAGTCTCCAACACATGGTAGAAGATGAAAGGTAGTAAAAAATAGTAAAACAGGTTCCCATGGCTGATGAACCCTTCATGAAATTAGAGCTCGAGGGGTTTAGTCTGATATCAAGAAGGATAAGAGTATTTTCCACAGCTCGGAATGCTTGATGGAATGGATGACCCGAGATGGTAAATCTTATGCATTTGTTTTGCACTAAATCGTTTAGCCATACTCCTTTAATGTTCCTTTATTGTATGGCTGACATCTTGATAACAATCTTTCAGGTTATCATATGCAAAGTGAAGGAAAGGACCAATAAAAAGCAAACCTGACGCTTCTGATTAGAGAGGGTGGTGGCTCAGTGTCACAGACGTGGACAGCTGAGGACCCAGTGCTCTGAGCATGACGTTAATGGTGATTCCACTTCATCTCGGGAGCCAAGTAGAAAACTTCTAATGCAAGTTGAAATCAGTGGGTGAGCAGAGATTTTAAATATGGCTGCGCACCTTTGTGTAACCTTTTTCCATGATTTACCTAGCCTCTCCTCCAGAGTAAATATTAAAAATTTCTCTACTGTGTCAATCCGTGGTAGAGGAAAACATGGTGCATTGGAAGGTACTGGCCCATGAAAACAAGCCCCCAGATCATTCTGGACCATAAAGTCAGGAGTATCTCAAAGATGAGAGAAGGTAATAGGGGTTCCCAGCCTACTCTGTTTAAAAGGATATACAAATTTCCCGATCAACAATAAAGAGGGTCATGAATCCAAACCTGAGGCCACTTCTTATCAAAAGGGGACCTGTGCAACGCTCATACGTTTGCATTTTACAGCCCTAGTCAAATGTAGGCGCATCACCAGACTGCCAGACCCTTAAATGATGACAAGATGAAAACTGTCATCATTTAATTAATATTAATTAGCATATTAGATGAAATATTCTATTTCAGGGACAGTCTATGTCAACACCTGCAGCAGACTCGCACTTGTTTTTCCTTTAAAATACGATTAACAGATACATACATGATTAACAATGAACAAGTTGTCTTGCAGAGACTCTCGACAGACACTCGTCTTCTTGGAGCGCACGTTCTTCTTCCACACGTTAAAGGCCTTCCATTTCCGGAAAAGTGAAAATATGGGAATCTTAGTGAGTTCTCTGTGATACAGGTATTCCTGTTCCCATCGATGAATTTCGACATATTCAATGTCCTCATTATTATAAATGTGTGTCACTGCCTTGTCGCTAATAGTATAGTAGTCCTTTTTATTGATGCTGTTATAATTTACAACTCTGCGAAGAAATAAGAATTGGGGAAAGTGAATAAAGTATTCAATGCAAAATTAAGCAATTACATTATTTTTGTTTTAAAGAGATAAAACATTTCTGGAAAACAAATATAATTAATTTTTTTTTAAAACTACTTTTAGATTGAATAAATTACTCAAGAAAAGGATGGGGGCTGCTTTTTAACAACAGCTGGTTTCACAACCTTGGTGATATAGTTCATAATTTCAGTTACATGATTTTAGAAAAACCAATTACAGATTTTTACATAATAGCCCCATATGAAAGCTACCTGGAAATAAGTTTTTATTTATAACCAGCTCTTTATAAACTGCTCAATAATAATAATGTAAAAAAGTTTTATACTACCCAGTACTGACAGAATTATGAGAAAGCAAGAAAACAGGAATTGGATAAGACTAGAATCAAGACCCAAATTAAGCTGAACAATAGGTCCAATTTATCATATAACAAAATGATTATTGAGAAATTATTTTTTCAAGATATCCCCTTTCAACTGTCATCAAGAGCATCCTTCAACCTTATACATTACAGGAGATAAATAAAGAAGAAAAGCAAGAATGGCATAAAAAAGGAGAAGAAATAGGTGAAGGAAGCAATGTAATGAGACTAGAAAGGGCCAATTCTCTAAAACTCCTTAAAATAAGAACTTGCCAACAGGCACATATATATTTTTTCTCTAATTTTAGCTCCAACATTGCAATGTTGAATGCAACGTAAATATTCAACAGTAGAACAAGTGTGAAATATATTATGATATAGCAAGTTATTAAAATATATTTAAGAATTTAAGAAAATAAAATTTATGAAGATTCTGTGGTAGTTTTGAACAATAAGATAAAAGTTAAGTGCAAAACAAAACCCCAATTGTTTCTATGTTAAAACTACGCAAAAATTACATATACTACCAAAGACTGGACGGGAATACTCCAGTGAAAATCAACTGTTTCCCATGTCTGTGTTGGCTTCTAGTCCTTAGCTTTACATTCTGAACCTAAAGTTCAAGGCCCTTTAATATAGTCTTCAGTCATCTGTGAAATCTCTGAAATTGTTGTATGTAAACAAATTTATGTACACAAGTTTTTAAGGAATTAGAACAAAATTCTCATGCACCTTGGTTCTGTTAATAAAAAAAACCAAGAACCACCCTGGCCAGTGTGGCTCAGCAATTAGAGCGTTGGCCCACACACCAAAGGGTCCTGGGTCCCAGTCAAGGGCACATACCTGGGTTGCAGGTTGGGCCCGGTCAGGTGCATGTGGGAGGCAACCAATTAATGAGTCTCTCTCACATCGATGTTCCCCCCACCTCCGCCTTCCACTCTCTCTAAACATCAATTGAAAAAAATATCCTGGGGTGAAGGTTAACAAAAAACAAACAACAATAAAAAACTAAGAACTATTGGCATAAATCATTTTTAATTTTCCATTTTTAATTCAATAAAACTAAGTAAAAAACTCTTTTTTTAAAAAAAAAATTAGGGCATCCCAAACCAGAATGAAGAGAAACCCAAGCCAAGCACACAAGGGAAGCTGGGGAGCTGATGGTGCTGCGGAGCGGGGACAGAGCCCTGACGGTCACTCTCCTAATTCGGTGCTGTAATGGGAAAATGTCAGCTTGCTCAGCTTTTATCGGACTCCACTACCTGACTCTGTCTATGTTCTAATCAACTCACACCAGAAATGTCTGGGAAAATACCAGGTATTATATGTTACTGTGAGGTGTAAGGGAAACATAAAATGTTTTCCCTTTTCTCATTGTCAACAGCTGAAGATACAATTAGGACATTCTTGAGAGGTGATTCTCTCCAAACTGTGAAATTTCAACAAGTCTCTTAAACTGAATCAACTTCAGATGTTTCATTAACATTAGTCATCAGAACAACCTAAAGGCAAGAACAAACAGTTCACCATAGCCCTTGTGCTTGTCTGGAAAACTCGCTGTGTATGGGTCGATCTGCTACTAAAGACACTTCTAGAAGGTGGCAGGTGTGGTCCATAATGTTGAATTTGAAATTATTGGTGATCAGTGTCACTTAGAAATTCTTTTTATTTATATTTTCCTACCTACTTAAGATCCTCATTCTCAAACCCCTAAGCCTTTTCTTCCTCTACACATCTCAACTCCACATGGAGCAAATGAAAACATGTGAGTCTTTTTCCAAGATTGGATCACCAGCATCAAAGTCATCTGGGGTGCACCTAGATTTCTGAGTCCAACACAGAATCAGAATCTTTTTATAAGGGACTCAACGCTCTAGTTTAACAAGCTGTCTGGGTGATTCTGAACCACTGAATTTTACTGGAAAACAAACAAAAACATGTTGACAAAGTGGGCTCTCTCTTGTACCGTCACTTGAGAATCATGATACCGTGTTTTCTTCCTCCTGAGTCTTTCTTATGCTTTCTTTCAAATGGAGATGGAGATTTCACCTCACTTTTTTTGAACTCTCCTGGCTTTTGGCTACTTTTCCTCTGTATCTAAAAATGTGCAGAACTTCTCTTTCACTTGTAGGAAGCTTCCCTTTAGTTTGTAAAAATCTTTTTCTTGACCCTGCTGCCCATTTAACATAAAAATCCCATGTCTTTTTCCTTCTCTTAAACTTCTTTTGTAATGGTATCAGTTGGCCATATCCTCCCCATCTATGGCCCTTTAGTGATGCCTGCAGTGTAGGTCTTGTGGTGGGAAACTCCCTCAGCTTCTCTACGTCTGGAAAATTCTTTATTTCTCCTTTATATCTAAAGGATAACTTTGCTGGATATACTACTCTTAGCTGGTGATTTATCTCTCTCAATAATTTGAATATTTGGTTCCACACTCTCCTAGCTTGTAGGGTTTCTGCTGAAAAAATCTGATGATGACAGTCTAAAGGGGTTTCCCTATAGTTTACCATCTTCCCTCCCCCGCCCGTCTACCTTGAGATTCTTTCTTTGTCATTACTATAATGTGCTTTGGAGAGGGCTATTTGGATTGAGGATCCAGTTTTTTCCACAAGTTGGGGAAGTTCTCATTGACTATTTACTTGAATAGGCTCTCTGTTCCCTTCTCCCTCTCTTCTCCTTCTTGCGTACCCACTATTATATTGCTCTTTCTAATGCAGCCAGATAGTTCTCAAAGAGTTTTTTTTTCTACCCTCAATTCTCTCTCATCTTCCATCTGAGTTATTTCTAGATGTCTATCTTCTGTGTCACTAATTCCATCCTCCATCTGGCCTGCTCTACTTCCTAAGCTGGCCAGCTCATTTTTCATCTCATTTATTGAGTTCTTCAGCTCTTTCTTATAATTTCAGTTTCCTTGGTGCGGTATTCCTTCTGTTTGTTGATTTTATTTGGAGTCTGTTGAATTGCTTTTCTGAATTTTCTTGTTATCTCATTGAGTCTTTTTCGGAACGGAAATCTTGAATTCTCTGTAATTTAAATCACATTCTTTCATATCTTTGTTTTCTGGGTATTTTTCATTTTCTTTCTGAATTATCTTATTACCTTGGCTATTTGTTGTGCTTAGTGTATTATTTCTTTGCCTGGGCATTTGTGGTAGTGAAATCTACTTTTTAAAAGTATTCAATACTTCATTGTTTAGCAATATGATAACTAGGAGTCTCTCTTTTGTTTTCCAGTAGGTGACACTTAAGTGCAGGTTTTTATTTTCTCTTACCTGCACTGCTGGGGCTTCCAGGACTCCTGTGGAGTGGTGTTACCTCATCTGTGGAAAATGCCCTGTATTCCCTGAGAAGCTGGACATCCCCTTTACTACCTGGTTACTTCAGCCTTGGTTTACCACTCCCATGGGCTAGAAGTGGCAGGTTATGGGTCTTCTGGCCTGAATCTTCTTGGTGGCACCTTTCTGTAGCCAGAAGCTGGGGGCACTACTGCTCTGAGTTAATCGAGCTATCTTTAGCAGGCTGTGCCATGATGGGTGGCAGATAGGTGGGCAGAGGGAAACAGATTCAGGCATCCACGGTTATGTTCTTCCTCATGGGTTTAGCCACACTGAGTATGTTTGAGTGTAATTTCAGTCAGCTCTTGTGATTTTAAAGTTCATTAAGGTGCTCAAATGTCAGTTAAGTAACCCAGTTGTGAAGCTAAGAACTATTCTTCACTAAATCTGCAGAGTTGAATCATATGCGAAATATTTTCCAATTCTTGACAAAATTTTTCTTTGGCCACCAACACACTTAAGTCTGGAACAACAAAAACATGATGTTCCACTTGCATTTCTTTGTAGAAAGCTAAAAATAGGAAGTTAAGTGGTGGCTTGGATTTCATTAGTGTCAATTTGGATAATATTGTTTATTGAAAAATTCATAACTGCAGAGAAACATTTACATATTAGAGTTCTAATGTATTATTTGAGCCTCAGGATTATCAGAATAAACTCTAGATGGAATATACATTTTTAAGAAGTATTTCCATAATATCTCATTTGCCTTGAATATCTCATCCCCAGTAGCATTTTCATTTTACTCCTCAGAACAAAATTCTTCCAAACATTTCACTTCAGGTATTCCAAATAGTGCTCTTATGTAGCAGATATTAACGTCTGTAGGTTCATCAGTGTGCAATAAAACTTTATTTGTGAATAAGCTTTTACTAATGTCCTGTATTATGTTAATCTTTGTCATCTAACATGCTGATCTAGTGGTATTATTGATTTCCTTTGCTTTTTGGTTCCAAATAGAATTTTTAAAATTCCACACAGGCTGGTAAAATTGCAACTCTGCAACAGTACATCATTCTGACATTAGATATTAATTGCACGTTCTTGCGTTCCAAACTTCTTGATTAGATAATAATATGAAAACACAATTTTGTTGCATATTTTAATCTTGCACATGCCTTAAAAAGTTCAAACCTTTTTCTGGGTATGGTAGATGTCTTTTGGTAAGGTGTTGATATAGCTTGCTTTGCACTACTGATTTGATAACATTTCCATACAAATGAGATATTTAAGCAAAAGGACAAAAATATTCCTGTGGTTCATAAATCCAAGTTTGATATAATTCTAATTATATTGTCTAATTTCTAATACTTTTTTATCATTGTGTTTATCTTATAACTTATTTTATTTTCTCTCTAGGCATATTTTTCCATAGGTGCCTCAGTAATAATATGACATTTTTGTTTTGTTTTCTTTATTATGCTAGGCTTAGAAATTATGTAAAATGCATCCACAGCTTTCCCACTTTTGATGAGTAGTGAAGATATTCTTTGATAGCAAACTCTCAGTCTCATGGGAGTCTCATGAACACCACTAAGCTTCATCGTGACAGTCAGCAGAATATAGAAATTAAGAGCATAGCTTCAGAAACCAGACTGTCTTTACATACTGTACTTATTGTACAATCTGGGGCAAGTTACTTAACCATTTTGTGCCTCATCTGTAAAATGGAGATAAGATTTTGTATTATCTCTATTATAGAATAGTGAATTTGTATGTATCTCTCTTACAGAATTATCGTGAGGAGTAAATGATTTATCCACAGAGGTCCAGGATCACCATTATGGTAAGGGCAAAACAAACCCCATGCCCAAGCCGTGCAGCTATACTGTCTTATGGAAACTGTGGAGGTCAAGTCTGGGAAATTACAGTTAAAAATCTTGTGATTCAGCACCATCTATTGGAGAATAGTGGAAAGACCTCTTCAGAGAAAGCTGTTAAAGGAGGGCCCACAATATATACATACATATATATATATATACATGCCTAGACAAAAGAGATCAGCAAATACCATGAATAAGCACAATAACAAGGAAGCTCAGAAAGAAAACGAAAAATCCCCAGAAAGCAAGCTGGATGGAACACATGGAAATATGTGATATAAATGACAGATATTTCAAGATTGCAGTTCTGAAAAATACTCAACGAGATGCGAGAAAATATAAACAGGCAATTCATGCACTCAGAAAACCAATTAATGAACAAAATGAGTACTTTATCAAAGAAATAGAAACTTTAAAAAAGAAATCCTGGAAATGAAGCCTACAATTAAGGAGATTGGGAGTAAACTACTGAGCATAGGAAACAGAGCCAACCATATGGAGGAAAGAATTAGTGATATCGAAGATAGGAATCTAGTAATGACGCATAGGGAAGAGAGAGACTTGAGTATAAAGAAAAATGAAGAGCTTTATGAGAAATATCTGACTCCATCAGAAAAAATGATATTAGAATAATAGACTACCAGAAGAAGAAGAAAGGGAGAAGGCGATGGAGAGCCTATTCAAACAAATAGTGGATAAAGAACTTCCCAAACCTATGGAAAGAACTAGATCCTCAAATCCAAGAAGCAAACAGAGCACCTAGTTACCTCAATCCAAAGACGCCCTCTCCAAGGCACACTGTATTAAAACTGTCAAAAATTAATGACAAAGAAAAATTCTCAAAACAGCCAGGGGAAAGGAAGGGACCTACAAAGGAAAACCCATCAGAATTTCATCTGACTTCTCATCAGAAACTCTACAAACCAGAACAGAGTGGAACCAAATATTCAAACGTCTGAAAGAGAGAAATTACCAGCCACAAATAATATATCCAGCAAAATTATCCTTTAAATATGAAGGAGAAATAAAGACTTTCCCAGACATACAGAAGCTGAGGGATTTTATCACCAGAAAACTTCCACTGCAGGAAATACTCAAGGGAGTTATTCTACCCGAAACAAAGAATGTAAGGTCACAACACTACAAGTAAGATCAACAAAAATCTTATAGCATAAACAGGGATAATTTGCGATAACCAAAACATAAAGGGGGTGTGTTTCTCTACAAATTATTTCTCACTCCTGTTAAGCTCTTCTGGAAATACAATTAATCTATCATTTTAAGCAAAATGTTTTTTCTCTCTACCATTTCTCCCCAGTAGGAAGGCTGTCCTCAGTGTTATCTGACTTGATAAAGCATAAGGGAAAACGAGAATTCCTGGAAGGTCCTTTTATCTTCCCACATAGCAAAGAATGGGGAAGGTAATTCAAAGAATTTGGTGGCAAAGCCAAACTACTATCACATTCAAGAAAAGACAGTTTCAACAACTGCTGTCAGTTAAAATGACACGTATTACAAATAATGCATCATCTACTTCTTATGCAATGCCATCTTTTCTCAGTAATCACAAAATAACAAAAATATGTTTGTAATGCTGATTAAAAATAGATGGCATTACATAATATAAACATGAGAAACATAACAGTGCTTCATAAATAGATGTCTGTAAATAAAGGAAAAATAAATAAGATTGTTGTGATTAAGATTCATTTATCACTGGATAACCAAAATTATATTTTATGTTTATCATTAATACCCAATCAATATGGGTAACATCTGCAACTTTATGTGTAACTTTTTAAAAATATATCTTTATAGATTTCAGAGAGAAGAAGGGAGAGGGAGAGAAAGAGATAGAAACATCACTGATAAGAGAGAGTCATTGATCAGCTGCCTCCTGCACGCCCCCCACTGCAGATCGAGCCCACAACCCAGGCATGTGCCCTGACCGGGAATCGAACTGCGATCTTCTGGATCCTAGGTCAATGCTCAACCACTGAGCCCTGCCCGACTGGGCTTATGTGTAATTTTTAATGTTAATAAATTGCTTCATAAAAGAGAACTTACTTCAGATTATATGTATCATATTCAATAGAAGACCTTGGCACTGCAGGAATCATATACAGAAACCCGATATGTTCATTTTCACGTAGTACTTTAATGATCTGCAAGGGATCACGAATGTTGGCCTTAACAACGTCTTCCCGGTCCTCGAAAATGTACGTAGGGTAAGCTGTGGAACTAGTCTTGTAGAGACCTCTTCTTCCAATGGGTGGCAGTTTAGGAGGAGAGGGAGAGAATACCTCAGTAGAGGACCGATGGATCTAAATAAAGCCAAAGAAGGTAAAGGGATTAAGCAAAAAATAAAGTCATAGATACAGGGGGGGAAAATGAGTATTTGAGGCGGGGAACAAAGGCTATAAAAAAATGACAAAATATTAACATCAAGGACCAGTTACTATACTGCCTGAGCTGTCCAGGGCTCAAAGGCAAGCACTTTGGAACTGAAAATTTTCAAACAGTTGTTAGGCACCAATCTTCCTTCTCAGTACTCCCTTATCCAGATATCCATCCCTTCCCACAAAAGGGATCAGCTCCTACCTCCTTTTCCTCTGCCATAACTCAATGTTTATTACATCAAAACACTACCAGCTATCTGGTGTTCACCACCCTCCTTGCTCAGATGCTCTACTGACCCTTACTGTGGCCTCTCCCCTCAACCTCCTCACCTTGTTCGGATTACCTGATGCTTTTAAATGAGTGAAATCTTATACAGCTGTAATCATAACTCATAATAAACTATAGTTTTTTGTGAATGTGAGGGGTAGTTATGCTGAATATTGGGAATCGCTGTGTCATTGCCTTGGAAAAGTATACATGTTTTTAACTCATAATTGCGGGTTCTGGCCACCAGTGATTCTCACATTTCAATGTTCATGTGAATTAGCCGGGTGTCCTGTTATAATGTAGTTTCTGTCAATCAGTCTGGGATGAAGCCTAAGATTCTGCATCTCCAACCTGCTCCCAAGAGATGGGGATGCTGCTGGCTCATGAACCACAGTTGGAGCTTCAAGGTCAAGCCCACACTATGTTCACACACATGAGCTTTGCTCCTTTCCCTGGGTCCCACATTCTGCACTCTCAACACCACTCACTCCTTTGTTCCTCCCGAACAAACTTTGGGAGGTTAATAACCACGTCTGAGGAAATTTGACACTTAATTCCAGCAGTCACCACTTTATCTCTCTGACAGTACAGAGATAACTGGCTTTCAGATAAAAGAATCACCATCGCAGACCTGCTTTGTTAAGTAATTGACGTAAATACATGATCTTTCTACTGCCTGTTAGCATAGCTAATAGAGGCTGCTGTTTCTATGACAGATTTATTGTCATAAGCTCTGTGGAACAACTTCCCCAGAAAGTTTGCATTCTCAGGAAGCCTTATCTTCCATCTTTAATTAAATATACCATGTTGAATAGAAGTTTGAGAGCAGAACTCTGGGAAGCTCAGAGCTGAAGGAAATCTTTGAAGTCAAAAGATAAAAAAGTTCTTTGGCTTCTTGGCGAGGGGTAGCGGCCAACGGCAACATTTTCTTATGGAAAATATATAAAACCAGATATCCAGAGCCAGAGAAAATATGCATTGCCTTGTTCCAATGTTTCAAAAGGGCTGTGGTCAACTCTAATACCTTTATGAGACTCTAGTATTAATATTTTAACAAAAATGCATTTATTTTCTTTGTTATTTCCTTTAAAAAGTTTTACTGTATTCTCAATGAAAGATTTCTTCAACAATAACCCTACACATTTTTGTCTGAATACAATTTCTAATTACAGGCATATCTCAGAGATATTGTGGGTTCAGTCCCAGGCCTCCATAATAAAGTGAGTATTGTAATAAAGCAAACGATAATCTTTTTGCTGGTGAAGGGGCTTGCCTTCCATTTGTAAAAAATGCACCATCTGTGGAGCGCAATCAAGCAAAGGGCAATAAAGTGAGGTACACCTATATATAACTCAGTGGCAAGACGTGATTCAATTTAAGTAGTCACATAAATTCAGATTTTTGGTGGGGGGATGGAATAAAGGAAGCATTTATTCATAAAGTGTAGGATGTCCTTTGTGATGGATGCCCAGTCTAAATGTTAAGTTAATCTTCCTTCATTAGCAGAAGCAAAGCCCCCTTCCTTCCTTCCCTCTTATCTCTCAGGAAATTCTTGTTATTGTATTTCCATTCTAAACTCATTTTGAGAAATCAATACTCCCCCAAAATGACCCTCTTCTCAGAATAAATACTCCTCTTTTATGTGGCATATCCCCCTTTCTTCCATATTTCCCTTTGACCCCTAACTCCATACTTAATTGTTCACTTAGTTACAGCTACAATCAAGTATAAGCCACACCTAACATTCCTTTCCAGCTTCCTCCCTTCATCCCAGTTACCCACACAGTTTCTCCCCTCTTCTGTAAATGCAAGATTTTGAAGCCCACTTTATACTAAATGAATTCATTTATAGGCAAACAGATCTTCCCTGGCCTACCTAAGTTAGCTCACTCTCTCTCTACTTCACAGAAACCAAACTAACGGAAGCTATACAATTTTATTCGATCATGGGATATCATTCTCTCAGTAAAATCTCACCAAAACCCACAGAGAGCCTCCTTCCAGCTGGCTTCTCAAGCCCCCAACTGTCCTGCCTTATCTGCCTCGTTAACTTTCCGCTCATTCCTCAAGGCTCAGTGCAGTTCCCTAGGGTCGCTATTCCTCCACCGGCCATACATCTGGACACTAGATGTGGCATCCCCTCTGTTCCATTCTCCATCATTTTATATACATTAAATGACCCATGAAAGCTCTTACCACCCCTTGAGCGTTCACTTATCCATCCGCCCACCTCCATCCAGATTCTGAAATCCTTGAGGACAGAGCTCATCCCCAGCTCTTTATTTCCAGCACTCTAGCCCAGTGCCTGAAAGAAAATTAGCTCTGAAATGTTTAACAAATGTCGAAGAGCCCTCTGAATAAAAAGCTCAGGGAAATCTTGGCCCTGTTGGTACTTTTGTCTTCCACACTTTCTCCCGCCCATTTCTCTCCTCTCTTTAGTTATCTATAGGTATTTATATAAAGCCATACTCTCGGTGGTTTCTCCCCTTATTGCCTGCAAGGCAACCTCACCGCTCTACAAAAGTTATCTCACCAGTTACAAAATGTTATCTATCTGGCTCAGTTTTTATTTTATTGCCTTTTACCAAATTTTCCAAAGACTGTCATTTGGGGGAATAATAATGAAGATTTTATAAAAGTTAAAACACTGTTACGTCTTCTTTTAATATGCAAGAAGTCAGAAGACACTGTACAGATGCTGAGAGTTTCCTTTATGATTTTCCTCTACTGCCCAAATTTTCCTTAAATAGGAAGAACTGAGAAATATTATATTCCCCAAATTCTTTATGCAACCTGATAGAAAAAGATTTTGTCACTATTCTTGTGCATTAAAAGCACATTAGCAATGCTATATAAAACTAAAATTAAATTAAAATGGCCAATTAAGTACTTTAAATACTATACCTGTTTTTCTTTCAAAGCATCTTCATGCTGAAGAGACTGAACAGGTGACTTGGTAGAACTTTCTTCAATGCTTCCTGGTGGTTTTATGATTCCAGAAGTGGTCGACAGAAGTTGATTCTGTTTATATATGAATTCTGGCCTCTTACGGTCTTGGTAGGCTTTTAGCACTGGCTTTGGGGAACAAAGAGGCATGTTAGTCTTTTTAATATTAATGTGAACTTATGTTAGTCTTCGCTACCTTTGGACTCTACCCTTGTTGGAAGTTGATTTCATCCTGGGACTAATTTGCTGTTATAACTACAAACATTGTAACAGCTACCACCACTGTCAGTCTATGAACTATTGCTTGACTAGACTTTTCTAGTTGGTTTCTATTAATTCTGTAATTCTGTATTTTAAACACCAACAAAAACTTCTAGGATTAGGATTGTAACAGAAAGTGTTCGGGGGCATGATCTTAGGCCAATCTAATTTCAAATTAAGGCAGTAAAAATCCAGCTTTTAACACAAAAACTAAATAAAAAAATTCACTATGATGACTTTAAGTTTTTAAGCATTATGATTTTAGCATGATAGCCAATCTTATATACAGGAGTGAGAAAATAAAAGCTTGAGAGCAAAATTAGCAAATAGCTGTTAAGTTTACATTTGGTTTTGGATAAAAATCCCTCTAGTAACTGAAGAAAAGACCAGCCGGTAATGCGAGTAGGAGGAGACTACAGTCATGAGAGTAGGAGGAGACATCTCAGCTATACAACAGTGTGGCAAAGAAATAAAGACCAGAATCACAGGTAAAGGGGAATGGGGGTCCAAGACAAAGATGTAGGAAGACCCTCAACTCACCTCCCACAGACACACCAAATAATATCACCTTATACACCTATGTATGTAGCAGCTCCTCCTGAAGAACTGAAGGTGGACTGAACAGCTTCTGCACATCAAATGAGAGAGGGACCACACAGAAAAGGGGAGGAGAGCTGGAGATGCAGTAACCATGGGAACCTTACCCCAGCTGGGCAACCTGCAATAGGGAAGGATAGCACCGACAAACCCATGTGCAGACGCACCTGCCCTGGGCCACGGCAGTAAAACTATGTCTTAAAGTGCACCTCGGCTATACATGAAAAAAACAAAAACTATTTCTTAACCCCAAGATCCTGCCGGATAGGTGGGAAACTGCAGGAATTCTCCAGAACTGGAGGACGCAGCAAGTGCTATTATTATGTTCCCCCTCTACCTAGATAGCAGGGGTGGGAGCTTAGTCCAAGTGCCTTGTACAGCTTGCAAGAAAGGATGCCACAGCTTGCTCTGGGCCACCTAAGACAGAGATCACCCAGACCCAGCTAGCTGGCCTGACAGGGTGGCCTTGAAGCCACGGAGCCTTGGCCACCTTTCCCCATGCTTGTTCCAGACGTGGCCAGCTGGTTTGCCTCGAGGCCCCCAGCGCTGCATGTCCTGACCAATTCAGTCATGCCTACCCCAGCTTCGGCCAGCGGGCCTGCGGGGATGCCCCTGGCACTGTGTGAGCCCACCCAGGCTCTAGCCAGCCTGCCAAACCTAGCACAGAGGTTACCCTTACAAAAGGCCACTTTGTCAAAATAGAGAGAAGAAGCTGCTTCGTTTCATTCATAAAAACACACACAGAAAGCCAAACAAAATGAGGAAACACACTAATATGTTCCATATGAAAGAACAAGAAAAAATGCCAGAAAAAAAACCCTAATGATATGAAGAGGAGTAATTTTCCTGATAAAGAATTCATTATTTTAATAGATGACTAGTTTCCCATTGTATATATAAATGTGTGTGTGTGTATAATATATATATATTCTCACATCTTTATCCAGTCATTTGCTGATGGACACTTAGGTTGTTGCTATGTCTTGGATGTTGTAAATAATGCTGCAATGAACATAGCAGTATATATATCTTTACAAATTAGTGTTTTTATATTTTTCGGTTAAATTCTCAGAAGAGGAACTGCTAGATCACGTGGCAGTCCTATTCTGTACTTTTTCCATGGTGGCTGCACCAATTTACATTCTTGCCTACTGTGTATGGGGGCTCCCTTTCCTCTACATCCTTTCTAACACTTGTTATTTCTTGTCTTTTTGATGACAGCCATTCTGACAGGTGTGAGGCAATATCTCATTGTGGTTTTGACTTGCATTTCCCTAATAACAAGTAATATTGAACATCTTTTCATATATCAGTTTGCCATTGGTATGTTTTCCTTGGAAAAATATATATTCAAATCCTCTGCCCATTTTTTAATCAGATTTTTTTCTTCTTGTCGAGTTGTATGAGTTCTTTATCTGTTTTGAATATTAACTCCTATTGGAAGTATCATTTGCAATAAAAAATGAAATATTGTCAGTTTTGACAACACAGATGGATCCTGAGAGCATTAAGTGAAATAAGTCAGATGAAAAAGGGAAAAAGTTTTATGATTTTACTCATACATGGACTATAAAACAAAAAGTAACAAATAAACTAACAAAACAAACAAAAACAAATTCATGCATAGATAGATACAGACAAAAGAATGGTTGTTACCAGAGAAGAAAAGGGGGTGGGAAGGGAGTGAATTGGGTAAAGGAGGTCAAATACATGGAACAGAAGGAAACTAGAACTTGGGTGATGAGCATGCAGTAGAGAGTACAGATATCAAATTATAGTGTCAGAGGCCTGAAATTTATATAATGTTATTTACTAACGTTACCTCAATAACTTTAATTTTGAAAAAAGAATTCAAAGTAACTGTCATAAGGATGCTCACTGAACTTGGAAGAAGAATAGAGAACACAGTGAGAACTTCAACAAAAGAGTTAGAAAATACAAAAAGAACTAATCAGAGCTGAAATAAACACACCAGAGGGAATCAACACTAATTAGATAACACAGAAGAACATATTAGCAGCCATTAAGAACCAGTAGTGAAGCCCTGGCCCATCTGACTCAGCGGTTAGAGCATCAGCCCGCAGACTGAAGGATCCCAGTTTCAATTCCGGCCAAGGGCATGTCGTACCTCAGTCGCAGGCCCAATCCCAGGCTCTGGTCGGGGGCATGCAGGAGGCAACCAATTGTTGTGTCTCTCTCACATCAATGACTCTCTCTCTTTCTTTCTCTCCCCCCCATCTCTCCCACTCTCTGAAAACCAATGGAAAAAATATCCTCAGGTGAGGGTTAACAAAAAACCCCCCATGATCCATCTGTATGAAGCCTACAAGGGACTCACTTTAGATCAAAAGACAGACTGAAAGTGAAGGAAAGAAGATATTCTATGTAAATATAAGTGAAAAGAAAACTGGATAGCAACATTCGTATCAGACAAAATTGACTTTAAAACAAACTGTAAAAAAAGACAAAAAAGGGCATTACACAACAATAAAGGAGTCAATCCAAGAGCAGGATATAACATTTGCAAATATTTACACATCCAACATATGAGAATCTAAACATTAACAGACATAAAGGGAGTAATCAACAGTAACACATCACAGTGGGACTTTAATATCCAACCTACATCAATGAAGAAATCATCATGACAGAAAACCAATAAGGTAATATTGGCTTCAAATTACACGTTAGATCAGATAGACTTAATAGTTATTTACAGAATGCTTCACTCCAAAATTGCAGAATACAAGTCTTTTCAAGTGGACATGATATATTCTCCAAGGCAGATCACATATTAGGCCATAAAACAAGCCTCAATAAAATCAAGAAGATTGAAATCACATCAAGCATCTTTTCTAAACATAAACTAGTAATCAATTAGAAGAAGAAAACTGAAAAACCTCCCCAAACACATGGAGACTCAGCAACATGCTACTAAATAACCAATGGATCATGAAGAAATAAAAAAGGAAATAAAAAACAACCACCTTGAGACCAATGAAAATGGAAATACAACTTTCCAAAGTCTATGGGATACAGCTAAAGCATTTGTAAGAGGGAAATTCATAATGATACAGACCTACCATGAGAAACAGGAGAAATACCAAATAAACAATCTAACTTTAGACCTAAAGAAAGTTAGTAGAAGAAAAAAATTATAAAGATCAGAGTAGAAATACATGTAACAAAGAGGGGAAAAAACAATAGAAAAGACCAATGCCACTTCTAGGAATCCATCTTTATATGTACAAAAGAAAGGCCATTCAATGCAGCATTGTCTGAAATAGCAAAATAATATCAACAAAACAAAAAGGAAATAACCTGAATTCCCATCAACAGGAGACCAGTTGACAGATACCATATTATGGTACAACCACGCAACAAAATACAGCGCAGCTCTTAGAAAAGACACCTCGGAATGCATGGATTAGGAAGATTTCTATGTTTAAGTGAAAACAGCACTTTGAAGATCAGTATGTACTATATAATCTTACTTTAAAGCCATAAATGTTTATACATAAACTCATTTATATACATATATGTTTGAATAAACATATAAAGCAGCCTGAGGGGGAACCACCAACAATAGTAGTTGCTGTCTGAGAGTGGAAGTGAGAATTTTCACTTTTTACTTTATGCACTTTCGCAGCTCCTTTACATGGATTTATAATTATCCAAAGGCACAAATGGGTTCTTAAAATTAAGTATATTCAGACATGCACAAAATTGTTCAGGACACGAGGGATTTCCTTTAAAAATAATAAAACTATATTGCTACAGGCATACCTCGTTTTATTGTAATTTGCAGATAATGCCTTTTCTACATAATAAAGGTTTGTAGCAACCCTGCATTGGGCAAGTCTATTGGTGCTATTTTTCCAACAGGCTCAGATGGTGGTTAGCATTTTCAGCAACAAAGTACTTTTTAATTGAGGTGTGCACATTGTTTATTAGACATAATGCTATTGCACACTTAATAGACAACAGAATAGTGTAAACATGGCTTTTATATGTACTGGGAAAGTAAAAACTGTATGTGACTCACTTTATTGCAATATTCAGTGTATTGCAGTGGTCTGGAAGCGAACCAGCAATATCTCTGAGGTATGCCTGTGTATATATAACTGTATATAGTATTCTTGCTGAAGTTCTCAGTATTAAATGGTACCCTAATATCCAAAGAGCCTTAAGTCTACATAGTTAAGTATCATATTGTACATAATCCTAGAGAAGGTTTATCCACTAGAAAACTTTGTTCACCGCCATATCCCTCCCACCTCAAACTCTTTAGAAGTCAGTATTTTTTAAATAAGTAATTACATTTACAACTTCATAAACAAGTCTTAACTTTCAGGTTTTCCTTTCTCCTTTGACAAGAGACTAGAAATACTCCATTTCCCCAAAAGCAATTTTGCAGCTTCCTCTGTAACCAAAAGTGGCTAAGATGTTGGTTTCCGAACTTACCAGAGGCTCCAGTTTTCTAGGCTGCTGTTGTCTTCTTGTCCTCTCCTGGGCTTTCGTAGCGTGCCTAAACATCAGGACTTGTGTATCAGCTGCATTTTCTGTGGGTGTTACAAAATTTTGTATTCCCTTTGCTATTTTACTATTCAGTCTTGGAGGCACGGGATTTTGCACCTGCTTGTCGACATTGTCAGAGTCCGTTTCTGAGGGATGAAAAGCCATCCTCACTCCTGCAGGTGTAGGGTCAGGAAAAGACAAATGAAAAGTAGAGCAACAGAACTGGGGAAGTGACGCAAGTGGAGGGGACGTAAGAACTAGGGAGAGCTGAATTTGCTTACCACCAAAGAAAACCCATCAAAGTTTCCCTGTTCTTGCCAAACTGAGAACCTGAACCAGAGGAATGAAAACTAGGAACTGTGCCTGGCCGTCCAGAAGCCCCGTTGTTGGGGTTGAACCCAGGAATTTGCATTCCTAACAAGCTCTTGGGTAATGTTGCTGCTACTGATGCCACTGATTTGGGGACCACACTGGTCTAGACTGGAAGGATGAAGAGAAGTGCAGTTAGCATTGAGATCAATGTTTCTCACACTTGAGTATGCAAAATATCTCCTGGGAAGCTTGTTCAAAATGCTGGTCATTCTAATACAAGCAATCTGAGAAATACAGCCTAGGTAGTCATGAAGAAACCAAATAAAGGAAAAAAAAAGAATTGAAGGCTAAATCCTAAAACAGTGCTTCTGGAACTCTTAGGTGCACGAGGGTGACTTTGGGGGCCTGTGAAAGTGAAGGTTCTGATTCATACTCATTGGATAGCAAGGCCCTAGAACACTAGAACTGTGAGGCTTTTGTAGTGGAATTGCATTCTCATTACCACTCACACTCCCAACCCACCAGATGGACAGATACACTTCTCTTCAAAATGGTATGTAGTACAGGAGGTCTTCAACCAGGAGTCAGCTGGACTAGATTTTCGTCTAGATTTGCACTGGCCTATCAAAATATGATGCAAAAAGCAAGGAGGTGGGCGGCACTGAAACAAGCCAAGATTGAGTGGCCAGCTCCAGTGAAGGCAAGATGGGGGTCACAGATGACGACATCATGGTAGAATCAGGTGATGGCTCACAGGACCTGATCACGTGTTACTGCCGGAAACCCTTAGCCTGACAGCCCATGATTGAGTGCAGCCTCTGTGGAACATGGATCCACCTCTCTTGTGCTAAGATTAAGAAGACCAATGTCCCTGACTTCTTTTACTGCCAAAAGTGCAAGGAACTGTGGCCAGAGACCTGGCGGTTAGGGGGGTCTCCCAAATCTGGAGAGCAATGAAATCATCATCTCTAGGCTGGAACTTTCAAATGACAACATGACTTGGGAACTGAGTCTCAGGGGCCTCAGCCTATCCCCTGAAGCTTGGATACTGTCCCACTTCAAGGAAGGAATTCCCAAGAGAGATGGTTTGGAAATGAGTTCCTACTCCCTCTTCCTTCCTACCTTGTGGACTTGAACTGGGGCCCATTACAGTTGCGGGTGGGAGGTTGTCTGGGTCCCTAGACACTCAATCTCTGTCCCTTGTACCTGCCACCTCTCACTTTCTGGGCAGGGTTGGTATTGGAATGGAATGGGACGGTTGTCTACAAAACTCTAGTGTAAGTATAGAGCTCTCTTCCCTCATCTTTTTTTCTATCTCACTCCCCACTTATTCTACACTGATTTTGTTTTTTATTTTGAACTTCCCCTTTTGGGCATGGCAGCTCAGAGGCGGGGTACCAACCAGAGCCTGGCTGAGGGAGGAAGGAAAACAGGTGACCATTCTCTCAGTCACCTCTTTTTGTTTTTAATAACATTAGCCAGCCGTTTGCGCAGACAGCCTGCGTGTGGTCAGTAAGTCTCCTGTGCAATTTTCATTTTTCAAGTAGCCACATTCAAAATCACAAGACAGGGAACTGGTGGCATTAATTTTAACAATGCACTTTGTTGAACATACCCAAAACATTATCATTTCAGCACAATCCATATAAAAGTTATGGATGTACTATTTTATTTTTTTGTTACTATGTCTCAAAACCCAGTGTATACGGTCACATTCAGAGCGCACCTCAATTCGGACCAGCCGCCCGCCGAAGAGCGCGGGTCCCCAGATCTGACCGCACAGCCTGAGTCTCGGACAAGCCTTTGCTCTCTCCAGCCCTCACTTTCCACCCCCCACGCCCCCCTAAAACGACGAGGGATTTCAAACGCCTTTCCACTGCCTTTCTCTGCCTGTAGGAGTCTCTCCTCGTGTGCTCCGAAAGCCACGTCTTTGCCAGAGCCCAGCCCATAGCTGGAAACCTCAAAACTCACCCAAGTCAGGCTAGAGGAGCTGCCACCGCCGCCGGGGGTCTCCGGGGACAGAGCAGAGCCAGGGCCGGGGACCGTCAGGCGGCTGCAGGCGCTGTTGCCCGTCGCCAAGCAGCCGGCAGGCGTCCGCCCTGCGCCCCGCGCCCTGTGCGCAACCCGTCGCCAAGCAGCCGCCCTGCGCCCTGCGCCTGTGCG